ACTGCTCCGACCGTCTTCTGATCTTTTCCATCAGGTAGATGAACCCTTTCATCCTCAGGAGAGAGCATCAAGTCCGCTGATGGGGTTCGAGCAAGCCCCGATCCGCGATGATGAAAATTCTATACACGTTACATAAGAGGAAGGCGAGAGACTGGTACGTTAAAGAAATTAGAGAGATAATTCCTCGGACGAATACCCAATTTACCCTTTCGTCCGTTGCCGAGCGTCCTGGCCTTATTATCTAAAGTGCTCGGCTGCTAGCGGCTGGGCGAATAAAAAGACAGAAAAAATAAAAAGAACGCGGCACCCTCGGCCCCGACGGCCATCTGACAGCAACGCGGAGGGCACCGACGCAGAGGCGATGGCAGGGGGGTGGCGGAGGAGGCGTCACAAGGACAAAAAGTATTAAAGGATACCTCGAAGCTTCTCCTACGAGCTCGCTGCCCCGGAACTCGCTAGCAGGAGATGTTGGCCAACTTTTTTCGGCTCCTATCATTTATTCACGCCAGAGTTATTTTCCTCCGCGCTTCAACGCCTACGACCGCCTTCTTTCCGCGGCCCGGGAAAGGGGTTGCGCTGCCTCTCGCTTCAACCCCCCTCGAATCGCCCTGTGTTTTTCACCCTCGCTTCCCTATCGTTTCTTATCTGCCTTTCCACTTCGTCTGCCGGCCCGTCGATTTTTAACGCACCTGCCCGATCGGGGGCGAACCGACAAATTTGAGCATCGATTTTTGATAGCACGTACACACTATCGTTACGCAAAATAATTTTACAAGAATAAAAAAGTCTTTCTATTAGATTATGAATAACAAAGTCATCGACTGGAGTATCGATTTCCATTTGTTTATCTCTTGGCTCTCTTTATCATATTAAACTTATGTTCAATTCTGTGAGGTTATTAGATTGAAAATTTCAAAAAGTTGTATCTATTACTTGAATTACAGGTATACTAGTTATTTTAGTTTGGAGACTAGAGTAATCTTAGAATTATATTGAGTTTGATATGAAAGACTGTACCTCTCGCACGCGCCAACAGAGGGACTGCTCTCTCACAAGCACTCGACGGACCATCTATTCCTATATAGAGGGTGGTCCACACAACTTGTGCACCTCTGTAACTTCCAAAATATGCGTTGCATTAAAAAATTCTTGATTTTCATCTTATATTGGCCTCTAGAATCACACATCAAAATTTTTCCCAGGGGTGGCCAAACACCCTGTGTATACATATTCCTTTATTGAATGTTCTGATGTCTAAGACAGGGTCTACTAGGCCTTGCCTCGACAATAAGAAAATAACACCGACTATCGACCTCTAATAAATAGAATCTTGAAAATTGTAATGAATTTAAAAACCGAAAAAATTACCAATAAATACAGTATTCCTGAATTTCATTACAAGGAATTTTCCATCTGACTAGAAACCCTTCGAGTCTTGGATCTCAAACGTCCTGATTATCATCAGGAACTAACCGATCAGTGTGATTTCAAGAAGCCAGAAGCAATGCTTGCCAAAAGTCGTAACACCGTCCTCCGGGGGGTGGTGGAACCGTTATCATCCCGGCGGAACCAAGATCGCGGAAGACTCGAGCATCTTGCGATTAACCGTGATCCGCGTCTTGCGCAAATAGGACGGCAGATCCGCGTAAAACGAATCCTTGTGTCGAGGAGGAGGTCCGAAACCGCTGGCCAACGGTCGGCGAGCGATTCCATCGAGATCGGTGAAAAAGAGATCGAGCCACAGGCCGCCACCGCGATTGAAAGAACGTTCCCTCCCCGTCCTCCCAATCATCCCCTGGAAATGCATTTTCCGTCTCTCTGGCTTCTGTGCCGGACGCCGTGGCGGCGGTTTCGGGCATGGCTTCATACGACCTGCACACACCGCCAGAGGAGAGGTCCAGTCTTTGTCGCTATTTTGGGGGATGAACGAGCCGGGGACACGAATACAAGTTCGATCGATGAATCACTCGACGTGCACCGTTGACGTTGACGCGGAAAGAGAGCGGCGACCGGGACAAACGGAGAGAGACACAGGGTGGGAATGAGAGACCCGACGAACGAAACAGTGGGAAGAGGATAGTTTACTGCGCGGGGGGAAGGGGGGGATGGTCGAGGGGGTGGTTGGAGGGGATCCGCGGAGGGTTTGGATGCACCCTCTCGCATATATACGGTAGCAGCTCACCGGTTGCGGGTGTAGAGTATGCAGGTGCGGGTGTATTAAAAAGGCGGGGGTGGCTGCGGTCGCGTACCAATCACCCGACGGGGATGAGGGGGTCGAAAGGTGGTCTGGGGTGGCTGGATGGACGGGGGCAGTCACGGTGGAGAGAGGGATCATACAGAGACGGTTTGTTCCGAGAGAGAACACGCCCGGACCACGCAACCCCCGTGAAATTTTAATCGTGTCGTCATTGGGGTAGTTTGTTGCGATAACCCGACCAGCATGAACGTGTACGGGTTTCCCCAGAAAAAAAGGGATCGCGGACCGGTGATGCTCGCAGAGCCTGTTAGTCCGTTATTTTTTCCTCTTTCAAGCCAAACGAGAGGGGAGGGTGAAAATCATAGGGGGTGTCCTGCAAACCATCCCGTACGCTACACGCTTCTGGATTTGTCGGCGATCTCTTTAATTCGGTCCACGTAAGATGATACATCAACGATAAACAGGTTCTATTTCGTTTTTTATTTCTTATTCCTTTTGTTTGACTATTTCTGAATCGTTTGTGAGCTATTAATTTGAAAATACTGTTATAGTTACTATTCCTTTTCCTTGGGGGATGCTGTCTTTGTAGTCTGTAGGCTGCATCGTGGTACATCCCTTAAGAGGTTAACCACGCTGGCGACGTTGAAACAAAAAATATTTTTTTCAATGTTTTGCAATGTTTTACAATATTGTACCAATTGTTTTCTTATAAATAAAGCATTCAAAATATTTTGAGAATTATAATTGCAGGGATTTCTCAGAAAACTGTTTTCATTGTAAGAAAAAAAAATCATAAATCATACAATAAACAGTGTACTTAAATATATTAATATTAAATTCCATCAAAATCTGGTTAACAGTATTCAAAATGCAGTTGAAGTTTCCCTATTAAATTTGGATATTTTTCCCCGCCAGGGTGGTACAAACCCCTTAAATTCTACCCCCTTTGGTGTATACTTATCCATCCATCGATGACACCTCTGTTCAGATCAGTTGACACCTGTTGTCTAAAAAAAAGTACTATTTTCTTGAAAATTAATCCAGTTCCACTGTAACTTTTTTTATCAACAATACAAAGGGATCCCCAAATACTCACCCCATTCTCCTAAATAATTTTTTAACTGGAATCTATTTTTCACGTAGTTGAAAATGGCCGAGTCTGGCTGGATCAAATAGAAACCGATGTTACAATATTTTACTTTTAAGAAAATAAACTATCGACTATCTACTACTTTCCTCGCCAATTGCATTAATTTTCAAAGATTATCCTTTCCAATAACTATCGAGCCGATATCTACTTTCCGAAATCGTTGAAAATGATCTGACCAAATCGGATATTTTTCAAGTCACCCTCACCCACCGATGAAGCTCGATTCCCTAAAAGTTGCATGCCCACCGACCAAAACTATCAACTATTTACTATTCCCCCCGGCGATCGAATGAATTTTTGCTTCTGTTTTGAAAGATTCACGGCCGGAATATTTGCCAGGCGTAATTAGCACCGTCGACGGAACACATTTTCATCTGTGAACGCACCCGTGTGTACGTACCACGGGTGAATGCATCGCTTGAAAGATTCATGGAGAGGCGGTACGCCGGGCATTATTGCTCATTTGATCGGCCGCGCATCGCAAAATAATGTAGAAAATTGTTTTGCGGTCTTTTTATCTCGATTTCAGGGACGTGACGGGTGACACTGTGATAGGAGAACAGGCGGATGGAGCGACAGAGAAAGAGGGAGGGAAAGAGAGAGAGAGAGAACGAGAGGGTTGGTGTATGCTTTGTGTGTCCCATCAATCACGCGGACCTTTTCACCGACCGGATATCGGGCCTGCCCATTTTTGCGTGCGGTGCATCCCGCTCGATTGCAATCGCGGCGAATTATTGAATCTGCTGCATCTCGTCTGCCCGGATTAGGTTGGGTTAGTTCGCACGCGCTCCCGCGACTTCCCTCCAACGATTTTCCATCGCGAGACGCAATAAATATTTCACCGAACAGCCCTGTAATCGCCGTTTACGACTGTCTAATAAATACGAGAAAATAACTATCGATACCGGCGAACGTTTGATAATCGATCGATAGAGTGGTACTTACTGGTTGGAGACCGGGTCCAGGTATCCGGGATACGTCGAGAAGAACGCTGCGTAAGAAGGTATGATCGTTCATGGAACGGATGATATTACTTTATTTGATGACGTACTTAAACAGTGAAAGATTTCGGGTCGCGAGCCTGGTCACGCTCGTCGATCTGCTCTCTGTCGCGGCCGATATTCACGTTCCTCGTAAAAAAGAAGGAGCAGTGTACAGGAACGTGACGCAGCCTGGACGCGGAATCCTTGGAACTGTGATATATTTACAACGGCTGGAGCTGTGCTCCGCTCTCGAGGAAGAGGCTACGAACGACCGTCGTCGCGCACAGGTTCGACCTTAGTCTACTTCCGACTGACGGAACTCTGTACAGTAGACGTGGTTCCTCGTAAACAGACAGCCCCGGTGTGACGAGGGTCGTCGCGAATCGATTAGTCTCGCTCGAAATGACAATGGGTAGTGCTTAACACGTAATGGTAACCTAGGTAATAGTTGGACGCCGCTTATATTTACATACTATACGAACGTAAACCCTGGTTAGTCCTCGAGTCCTTGATAGTTCCTGGTCGGTGCACCAGGCGCTAAGCTTCTCACGGCCGAACCCTGACACGGTATTACGTATTATCATCCCTAAAACAACGACCCCGGCGACTTTGCAAGACGCTCGAGGACCTCTGCGCACCAGAAGCCCTACGAGAACTCGATCGTGGACCTTTAGTACGGTCTCCAGACGTGCCTGGGTTTCGGGCTTCTCTCTCGTTTGGGCCTGGCCCCGTCCCTCTCGACGTCGGTGTCGTCGTCCTTCTTCCTGGTGGTCAGATCCTGACCCACGTTCTCCTTGTCCTGTCCCTTCTTCGTGCTGAGGTCCACGGTGCCTTCCAGGCGGATCTTCACCGCGATATCGCCGCGACGGGGGATCTGCTCGTCGCTGGTCGCTTCCTGGTCGTTGGAGTTCTCCATGCTCGGCCTGAGGTGGACGGAGGCGTCCTGGTACGTCGCGTCCTCCGCGTCGCTCCTCACCGGCGAGATCCTCGGCGAGTCTTGCTCCGGCAGAGACTCGTCGCTTCTCACGCGGTCCCTTTTCTGATCGTACTCGATCCTGTCGTCCACCTCTATGCTCCCGTCGGGGCTGTCCAGGCCAGACCTCCGCAGAACGTCCTGATCATCGTCCCGTTGCTTCTCCTCCTTCAGAACCGTTTCCGGGCTGTTGCTGCTGCTACGGAGCTTCCTCAGTTCCTCCAGCCGGGCCTGGTCGGGCCTCTGCAGCCGCTGCTGGGCCATCCTCAGCGCCAGAGCGTGCCACTCCGGCTCCAGGATGTACTGCTGCGTGTGATAGAGCGGATTGTACAGCCAGGACGACTGCGGCAACAGCGGGGCGAATATCGACCCGAATATGGACCCGGTGGCTCCCAGAAGGTGAAGACCTGTCGTTAGAATGGCGAACGATTGGTCAGAAACTTTTAGAGATTTAAGTTCAGGCTGAGAAGCGTGCAGGAAATAATGCAGGGTCAAGGTAGCTAATATGGCCTAGCAAAAGTTAAATATTTTTACATTTAATTTGTCTCAAAGTAAGAAGAGATTATTTGAATCGATTATCAGAAATCTACAGATTGTTAAATCTAATGAGGCTTTACTAAAATAAAATTGCAAGTAAGAAAATATTTTCAACGATACCTTGGAAATGTGAGTGATGTCCAGACGGGCTGGGCGTCGTCGTCGTCGTCGTTGTCGTCGTCGACTCTGCCGGGGGTGTTGGCGCCGCCACCGCGGCCGTCGTGAGCAACCCTGGTCCAGGATTGCCAGGTGACGACGTCGGCGTCACTTCCCTCACCGAGACACTGATTGGACCCAAATCGTTCCTGGACGACTCTTTAAGAAGACCAATTCGTTTTCTCTCATTAACGATTGAACACAATCAGCTGCCAATCCCTCAACATTACTACTCGACTCTGACATCCATCTCGAAATGAAAATCTCTACCCTGCACTTTAAATCGAGCCCTTAAAAATAAACTCTCTTCTTATTACTTCCTTATTTGTAATTTGTAATGTACAAATTATTTTTAGTTCGATGTAGAAGGAAAACAAATTTTTTTTTTACAAACTAAATTTGGTAGCTCTTCAAATGCTCTTCAATTTTTAAATAATCATTTATCTATTCTCTTACTGTCTATATTTACACATTCTTCTATATTTTTCTAATTTACTGCTAAAAAATCTAGTGTTTTTATTTCATATGTTCGATGTGACTATGGGTTTTCAATTCATGTATCAATGGTAGCAGATAAAACACGTTGACTTCGCACAATTTTCTTTTAGTACTACTTTTGCACCTTAGGGGAGAAACCACCCCTCTTATCGAAGGGTTGGTAAATCGTAAAGAACGAGAGACATCGAAGATCAATTGTAAATGTTATACCTATTTTCAACGAATATAGACAAATATATTTCTTTTAAAAAAAATTCTTTTAATCGATATTGAATTACCCCTTCTCTCCTTAGAAACTTTCATTCCATTTTTACAAGTTTGACAGAGGTCCAAACGAAAATGCGGGAAAACTTTTCGTGTTGTTTTAAATCTTTGATTAAGAATCCAATATTGTGAAAAATTTCATGATGATCCAGAAAAAGATAACAGAAGCCATCGAGTGATGTATAATACAGGGTGTGGCACATAACTGTTACCACTTAGTCTGATAACAAAATGTTTCAGACAAACGTTAATTAGTGTCTGTTCAGCTACCAATTTAGACATAAAAAATGGCAAGAAAAATTTGTGACTTAACTTTTTATAATAAAACAATTTTCTTTAGCATTCTTTACATCTAAATCTATGGCTGATCAGAAGCTGATTAACTTTGGATTGAAATATTCATCAGATTATTGGAAGTGCCTCAACATTTCATCAGACTATTATAAGTGCCTGAAAAATCCTGATCATGAGTAATGTGTCACACTCTGTTTGCATGGACAAATGTGGCGAGTTTCATATAAAATGAAAACTAGGAATTTATGGACTGACCCAATGTAAAGTTGAATTCACTTGCATTCTCCCTTATTAGATCAACGCGTTAGGGGGACTAGGTGGATCCCTTACCAGTGTTAGGTCCAGGTAGTCTAGGCGATCTCTGCTCGATGGTGTGATGGAAAGGATTGAAGGCCGACGCACCAGCTGTCGGGGGATGTGTGTGCGAGTGGTGACCGGGTGGCGGTGGAAGACAATGCGGTGGCAGAGACCCTCGGGGTAAGCCGCCCCACCCCTGACCTGCTCCTTGCTCCAGACCCAGGTGTTGCAAGCCTGTGCAATCGAAGAGATCTGAAATTATGTCTGTCAAGTAGTTGGGCCCGTTGGAAACGATGGATCAGGTCCGATCGCGAAACCCTCTTTGACCCAACAGCCGCTGCGTGGAAAAATTAATTACCCAGAGTGCCTAGCGTGAGCCCGTAGGTTTCTACGAGGCCCCCAGAAAATACTCGTCCGCATTACTCTCTGAACTTTACCTCCGGGAATTTAGCGAGCCAGTTCGCGAAGACTGGCTCTGTAACGATCTCAAACTATTTGTTAGGGGTTGGATATCGTTGCTGATAATCTTTCGACCCTAATATTAAATAAATCTTCTAATATATTCTTATGGGGGGAAAGAACACTTTAATTTGCAAATGCGACACCGAAAATTGCCTTCATGTTGTTTATTATTCGTATAAAAAAAGAGCTCTCTGGATACAATGGGTTATTTCCAGGAAATGTACTGTTTATTTGAGTTCCTTTGCAAGTTTTTCCTCCGAATAAAAATGTTACAACCGATCGAATTTCACTTTTTATCCGTTAACAATCCGTGGAAACGGGACTCTGATAGATTTCTGGGAAAGAGCCGTCGGTGAAATGACGTTAAAACAGCAACAAAGTATCACCTGGCGGTGATTCCCGGAAACTTTTCAATCCGCCTCCCCCCGTAAATGACACCTCGTTGGCTCCGGGTAGTATTGCGCGTAAGGACATATTTTCTTCGTTCCTTTCCTTCCGGTCCGATTTTCTATTATTCCAGCAACTCGTCCAGGGACCAGACCCCGGACGCCTTTGGAGGGAAAATCAATCGCGTCGGGTGAAACGGGCGCGCAAAAGGGGTCGCAATAAATAACCCACGGCGCGCTCGTTAGAAAAGAAACGTGTTACCCGAGGTGATCTGGAAACGTTATATAACGTCAGACGGATAAGCGATCGCCGGGTGACGGGCAGAGCTACAGAAACGTTTTCCCTTTGACGTAGCGAGCGTTTGACGTGGATGGACAGTTAAATTTATCCAACAGAGAATAGAGGAACGATCGATCACCTTTTTTTTTTCAATGGGCGGCCAATACCGCCGCCCGGCCGTGAGGCGGGCTCTCGCGTGTGCAGGTATGCAATTAAATCCACGACATCGGAAGAATTAATCTGTTCGAGGGCGATTACACTGGTCACGGTCGCCCGGCTCTCGTTCCTTTCCTACGGACGGCCCGAAATCCCGAGGAACCGTACGTAGGAACGGAAAACATTCGAAGCAACGTGCATAAAAAAAAAAAAAAAAACACCGTCGTGCAAAAGAGAACGAAGGCAAGGGAAGAGACGTTCAGACGCGAGAAGTTGGAAAACCGCGAAGCTACGAGCCCGCGGTTCGTTCCGCGTCGGTCGCGAGCAGACGGCGGGCTCGAAGGAGGAGTAAAAGTGAAGCCCGTAGTCATCGGTACCGGTATCGGTTTTTCGAAACACCTTGATCAATAGCAGATTATACCGTCATCTGTGCGGGGCAGTTTAAAAATTCCGTGAAAGCTTCGAAGCCACCGGGCGTCGAGGGTAGGGGATCACGTAGCGGCGAGTAGGGGAGGCTAGGCGCGCCGGGTGGGGAGGGTTGTCTGGTCACTGGAACGTGGGCGTGGCGGCTCGTGGCTGGAACGGCGACGATTGGTCGAGCCTGTGGCCCCACCAGTCGCGGTACACACGGCGGCGGGGATGTAAAAAGCTCGGTAGGGGCCGAAGGGGTGATTTTTAAGCTCTCTTTAAGCCGCGCTTGCCAGAGAGGACACCACTATCTCGCGTTCTACCACACCAGCGCGGAACGCCGAGCAGCCCAGCTGGAAGCTCGCATGGAGAAAGAGAGAGAGAGAGAGAGAGAGACAAGGTGGACGAGTGGGAGAACGAGACCGTGTAGCTGCAGCTACTTTATGAGGGGATTAAGAAAACGATAAGAGGCGCGCGAAAGCTGTGCTGCCAGCGAGCTTAAGGAGGCCAAGGGTTTCCGTGTACCTGATGCGCCGTGAGCTAGGAGTCCGCTCGGACTGTTTTCTGGGCAAATTCTCCGTTTTACGCCCATGCTTCGGCAGCGAAAAAATCTTCCAGTGAAACGAAAGAATTAATATACGTTACCACCGCTCGATATTGTGATTAGATACACTTTCGTCCATTGGTAATCGAATTCTTACTAAATGTAATACAAATGGACATATACAGTATTTTTATTGCCAATTATTTTACCAAAAATGGTATCCAACAGTCTTAAATATTCTTTTCTTCTGAAACTAATCGCGACATTCTATCGACTAATTTTGTTTCGAACTTCCTGGAATGGTTTCCAGGAGTACTTTGATTTCAGATACATTTGTACGTATTAGCATTACTACAGTAAAATAATAACCTAAGTAAATGTAAACGAGAGAATAAGTTTCCTTTAGAAAACTGTATTTAAATTGTTGTTTGCATTTTTCTATAGTAAAAGTTGAACAAATGTACCAAAAACTGATCAGCTTGAGACACCAGGACAGTGTATTATAAATATTATCTGTGGAATGTACCTTATTGTATTATTTATTATTATTTTTGCACTTCGATGCAATTTCGATAGACACATTTGTGCTAGTATGAGGCCAGCAAAAAGCTCGCAGAATTATTCTTATTTGTATTTTGATGAACGTCAGAGGTTTTGGTTATATGATATCACTATTTAAAAAAACGTTTAAAAGATTGATAAAACCAGGGTATAAAGAAAATTTGACATGTAAACAAGCGAGTAACTTTTAAATTTGATGTACCATTTAGAACCAGTCTCTCAAGTATTTCACTTGTCTCATGTTGAACAACGTTGACAGCTTTGAATAAGTTGTTATTAACCAAACCATTGATACAGCAAAGAATCAGTAGAATTAAGAATTAATTACTTGAAAGTTCTGTATTTACTTTCAATCTTTATTGAAAAAAATACAAGAATTTATTTTTTTCCAGGATGAATCGTTGCATAGCTGCTTAAAATTTCAAAGTGAAAACAATTTGATAATCTTCTCGACTGGATCGTAAGAAATTAATGAAAACTCGCTAAGCATCCAACTACGATTACGAAAACAATTTTTAAACGTCCCAAATAATCATCGATATAATTTTTTGTTGCATAAATCTGTACGATTGAACGATATGAATTGATCAAAATGTTGTTTCTAGCCTATACATATGCTTGATAATAACGAATACTTGCATCGATGGCCAGATATTAATATATTCAATGCCTAGCGAAACTACGTGCTATGGAAAATGAAACTAATTTTGATTTTATTGGCCTGTTCCTTCGTTCCTGTTTCGTGGACCGTGTCGGGGGTAGTTCCGTGTTTTGTGATCTTTGATAAATCGTGGAGCTTTGAAATTCGATGGGAAGGTATTTGACAGTGGGCGCGAATCTATTTGAAACTGTTCGTAACATACTTTCAATTTAATAAACCTCCAAAATGCCTGGCACCCTCTTACAGTGGCGCTCGCGTGCCGGAACGGGAGAGGGCGTCGGGCGATAATTCCGAAAACAAATGAAGACTAATGAGGGGAGAACCAGGCGAGATCTCTGAAAGAGTCGAAGGGAAAGAGACGGAAGGCCCCGTAGAGAACCGAAAGGGTTCAAGGAGCCGCTACCCTTTAAGGGGTGAGAAATGTTAAGCTTAAACGTTACGGCCCTAGGGTTAGTTGCCTTTATGTGTGCCTTCCGTTGGGGCACCGAAGCTTTAAGGGATGATGTATTATCGAGCAGCATGTTCAAAATGTGCTTCGGTATTTTAGACTCGTCCCGTTCGGCCCCGGGTTAACGTCACTTCTCGATCCTCGATGCATCTAATAAAGAAACTTGGCGAAAAACATTGAGAACAAACCAACTTCGAGGAAGAAGTGAAGTTGAAAAGAAACTATAGGCAGAATGAGTCGTGTTCGGGTCGCGGAACAAGTTACGATATCGTTAGAAGGTACCTCCACGGTCACTGAATTATTAAAATTTAATAAAACATAATTAATTTATCGTTGCATGATCTTATTCGTGAAGCAAGAGCTGAGAATTTGGTCGAACGAGGGATTACAAGTGAAGTAAGTAGTATTAGTCGATAATGGATCAGACATTGTGTTGAAGTAGAATTTCTAATCGTTTAAAAAATAAATAATTAAAAGTTATGGATTGGAAAATGGAAAATCACACTCCTGTCAATTTTATAACGGTTATATTAATTATTAACGTGTCTAATAAATAAATTCTGAAAATTAGCAGATGACGTTAGAATATTATTCGAAACTACTTGCACGGTCATTGAACGATTAAAATTTACTAATAAATAATTATTCTATCCTTGATGTTGCAAACGAGATTCGGGAAGGGCGAAAGCTACGAGTTAAGATCAATTTTATACGTAATATTTTATAAGTAATATTAATTATAAATCAATATTATAATATATCTAACAAATGAACGTGATAGTAGATTAACGAAAATTGATGAAAGAAAAATTAAAAAGAAATTTGGATGAAGATAGGTTTCCTATAAGTAGTAGTAGTCAATAATGGGTCAGACATTGCGTTATAGCAGCATTTGCAATCACGTATAAAATCCCTAAGTGGTATACAATTAACGATTAGAGACCGTAAGACCATTTTACCCTGAATTTGATGAAAGAAAAATTGAAAAGAAATTTGGATGAAGATAGATTTCCTGGAAGCAGTATTAGTGAATGATGGGTAGGACATTGCGTTATACCAGCATTTGCAATCACGTATAAAATCGCTAAGTGCTATATAATTAACAATTAGAGACCGTAAGATCATTTTAGCCTGAATTTGATGAAAGAAAAATTAAAAAGAAATTTGGATGAAGATAGATTTCCTGGAAGTAGTAGTAGTCAATAATGGGTCAGTCATTGCGTTATAGCAGCATTTGCAATCACGTATAAAATCCCTAAGTGGTATACAATTAACGATTAGAGACCGTAAGATCATTCTAGCCTGAATTTTATAATACAAATAAGAAA